ACAAAAGTAAATTGTTAGAACAGATGACAATGTTAACTTTAAGAAACTCTGCCCTATTTGTCTGTGAGTTTTATTTCTGAGCTCATAGTCAGATTTCACCATCATTGCTGAACTTCAAGGAAAAGAAACAACATTTTGCTGGAACAAATCACTTACTTATTACTGCAGCCCCTGGATTATGGATGAATAAAGGACACACTGGACCTTAACATTTACTCTCAGAAATACCATTACACTTGCATGGCAGTTTATATTAGGTAAGGCATCTCAGCATATTTTATTTCGTATGACCCTTGCACAGCCCGGGTGGCAAAGACAAGTATTGCTTGAAATAGTTTCAAATGGGCAGAGTGTGGTGGTGCATACCTAGAATTCCAGCTACTTGGAAGGGAGAGAAAGGAAGATCCAGGTCCAAAGCTGGCCCTGGGGGAAAAAGCCAGAGACTTATCTGAAATATAACTAAAGCAAAACAGGGCTGGGTGTCACTCAAGTGGTGAGTGCCTGCCCAATGAACTTGAGGAAGGAAAGAAAAGAAATTACTTCAAAGCTGTGTGTTTAAAGTATGATTTTTGTATCCTGGTTAAAGTTATTTCATTAAGCACTTGTGCTGTCAACAGGGTGGGGTAAGAGAAGCACATACGCCATCTACTCAAACGTGAGTGAGTATAAATGCAAGGAGTGTGTTCCCAGTGACGTCAAGGTATTTGAGGAGTCCTCGTGGAAACACGACATGCCCACCTGACGCGTTAAGTTCATAACCATAATTGGGCCCAGGCTGTTGTGAACCAGGCTGAAAGAAGCCATCTGAGGGAGCTGCTTACCCAAGTGAGGTGAATGAGCTTTCGGGGCTATGTCAGTACATTACCAGCTTCTGGGGATTTAGATGGCCCCCATGCCCAAGCAGAGCTGACTGGCCACGTGGGCACACGTGGCACTCTCGGCAAGCCTTTTGCTTGCCCTGGCTCCTGCATGGTCAGGCTCAATCGACATGAACCATCGTCAGAATGCCCCTGCAGGGGCAGGGAGAGAACTCAGGAGGGCACAGCCAGAGGGCATGGTCTTAAGTTAAGGTCTCTGCATTGCTGGAAGGAGGCCACCATGCAACTTATTTTCTCTTCTGATTGCAATAAAATTCCAGTTCTCTCTTCCAGGTTGCTTCCTCCGTGATGCAGCACTGGGCAGCTAAGCAGTGGGCCCATGCCCTGTGCCAGGCTTTCGGGGGATGCTAATAATGCCAACGTCATTAACAGGTGATCTTTGTTCTTCCCATGCCATATGACACACCCCCGTGTGGTGATGCCAGGTACCAGACAACACAGGTCAGTGCTTACACAGGCTGGGCAAGGAGTTAACTCCTGGGGCATCTTTCACATAATTAACAGTGACCTCCGCCACAGGTCTGAAGAAAGGGTCCCCCATGGTTTCCAGTGGATACTGAGAAATAATGGCAACTACCAGATGACTCTGCTCTAGAGATGGTCACAACATCTGGGTTCAAGGTAAAAATTAAGACTGTTAAAATTTCTCACCATGTGTCACAAGAGCAAGCAGGCCTGGCCAAATGGCTCAAGCAGGACCTTGTGGCCCCCAAGGAGGGGAAATGGCATCACAGGAAGTTGGGAGGATGAGAACCACATGGAAGGGGCGGCTCTCAGCAAATTCTCTCTGCAGTGTCTTCAGGCTCCCTTCACACACCTCTTAACCTAAGATTCTTCAGTGCAAACAGGTATCACCTTCTCACAGTACCAATGATGGGTCCAAAAACAAGTATGAGGCTTCCTAAAACAGCAGGCACCCAGGAATCTCTAAGAGCTTGCTGCAGGTCCTCCTAGCACCTAAGTCCCCCAAACCTCACAGGCAGGCCCCAGCACTGACAACACAGGGTCTCTGCATAGCTCAATCTCCACAGTCAGTCCTGTGTTTCTCACTGCAAACTAACCCTAGGAATGCCAATCCCTCATGGTCCAACTCTGAGCCCAGCTAGACACAGCTGGCCTGTCTGAAGAGGGAAGGAAAAACCCTCAAATGGAAGCCCTAAAAAACAAACAGTATCTTTGCTCTTTTAAGCCTCCAAGATAACATGCAATCTCAAAAGATTTAGTAAGGAGAGATTTTCATTTGTCCCACCAACTGAAGTACACTTTCAATGGTGGAAGCACGACAAGGTAAACTGATCATTTTTGTAAACTCAGATCTACTGTCACATGCCCTCCCCTAAGTATGAAGTGAGGTCCTGCATTCTGTTTCGAGGTGTGCGCCATCAGGAAGAGGAGGACATGGCCAGGCCCTGGCTGGGAATCTGCAGAGGGGGAGGAGGCCAAGGCTTATGACTGTGTATCTGTTCTCAAATATAGAGATTAAAAAACGGTAAAGAGAAAGAAAGAAAGGAAGGCACACAGCTGCCGGCCTCCAAACAGACCTCCCATCTGCCACCCACGATTTGCATGTCACCTTCTCCGGGCTCATTTGTACTTCATTAACTGCCATTGACTTAACAAGATTTATGCAAATGACACCACAGGAGCTCCCTAACTCCCACTGCAATCAAGTGATTATGTATGTACAACTCTCCACAGCAATGAAAAATTAATACGTGACAAGCCCACTCGCTGCTCAGCCGGGCCTCTGGCTTTTATTTTTCTTGCTTTGCTTTCCAATCTTTATTTGAATAGACCTTATCTTATGAGTAAAGAAAAGGAAAAAAGAAACTCTCTTTTCAACCCAGGGCCTTCCTTCCGGGAATCCCAGAAAAAACAAAAAAAAGATTGGAGGGTCGAGCCCAGGTTCCAAGAAAACGATGCTATGTTCCTGAAAACAAGTTCCATTCTTGATGAGGGAATTCATTTAAATTTGCGGAAAAAAAAAGGACAAGAAGTGGAAGTAATTTGGACGATGTTGATTTGGGGCTGGGCTTCCTGGTCCCAGGGAAAAAGCCATAAAAGATTCTCCACAAATGAAAACAAAGGGTGTTAAAATTTCTCCCCTGGCACATGTACCATCTGCACAGAACACAGTTGAGTTTGAGCGGGGAAGAGGGCACCTCACTATTTCCCCTATATAGCCATTACGATTATTTCCTTGGGGGAGGAGGGCTGGTAAAGAAGAGGTCTGCGAAATCAGGAGCGCGGTCAGGTCCAAAAAGCCGTGCCTCACCGGCTGCAGGAAGGCCACAGAACTTCTAACTTTTCCTTCTGCTTATTGGGCAAAGAAAGCCAACCAAAGTGATTGGGAGGGCTCAACATGTGAAAGCCAAATCTTGGACCATGGATTGAGTTAAGACAAAGTACTCTGCTGCTGGTGAGAAGGCAGTGACAGTGCAGGGGGGACACAAAAGAGGACAGGACCGAACGAGCCCCCACCCGAGAACAGGCGCATGTGTCAGGGCTATCCCTGGAGAACACTTGCCATAGGCACAGTATTAGAAGTTCCACACAGGTTCGAGATGCTCTTGTCTGAGGTCAGGGTTCATGTACTGAATTTAAAACACGTAACTTTTGTTTCCAAAGCTATCCATAGGCTTTTTGTCACTCAGTAGAAAGAGCACAGATATGTGGCAGAGTGGCCTGATTGGAGGTGGGCCCCAGCCCTCCCAGCAGGCTGGTCTCCAATACTCACCTTCTTAGGGTTTGGCTTACGATAAGGCTAACAAGACTGCCCCAACTGTGCAAGGCTAGGGCTTAAATGGGACAGTGTATGAAAAGCACTCATTTAATTGTTCACTTAGTCAACAAATCAATCCATAGAGTTTCTAGACCATGCAGGGCAGGTACTGTAATCCTCCTGCTTCATTTTCATATTGAAGTTATCACACGGGGTGGGGGTGTGATTCAGATGCTTTCAAATGATCCAGGCCCCTCCTAAACACGGGTACCCCCAGGCATGCAGAGTAAGTTGGTATGACCCCACTACAGCTCCACCTCAATCTGTAGCATGTGCAGGAAGGCTGTGACGAGGGGCCTAGAGCATCACAAATTCAAATCCCCAGTCTTGCTGGGATGGAAATATTTCTTGTGAGGTCCAGGTCACCACATTATAGATGAGGAGCCCAAGGTCTGGAGCAGCCACCAGAGTAGGACCATGCTAACTCCAGGAGGGTGCTCACGGGGCACAGAGAGTTCCCTATTTCCAGGAGTTTCAGGGAAACCAGGCCATGATCTGAATTTCAAGGAGATTATTTTAAACATTTGAAAGCTGAAGGTTTCCCAGGACAAGACAGCACTCATTTACACTCGATGGTCAGCTTCAATCTACACACGTGTCAAAGTCCAGACCCCATCCACAGACAAGCAGAGTACGAAATAAGCAAAGGCTCCAGTTACACTGTGACCTGCCAGTGCCACTCCCACCCATGCCTACAGTGCACACACATCAGGGAAACTGTCTGGTAAGTTTCTCATCTTCCTCAAAGTCTATGTCCCAGTTCCAGTTCTTTAGATGAGAAAAATATAGTAAAATGCTTTTTATAATTGTAGGTTAAACAACATATATAGCATAAAAATTATACATCAAAATTGCCTGATGTAGACAAGTTATTAACTACATGAGCAAAATGGAAGAACTACTTTATAGTGAAAACACCACCCGCCATGAGCAAGGCAGGAAGCTGCTTTTTGTTTTGTTTCTAAATATAAGGACATAGCACTGTCTCTTAACAGTTGTGTGTGCTGACCCACACATGTTACTAGTAATGGCATGCTTGTTCTCTGCAGAGGCATGAGGGCCTTGGTTGTTACTTCTAGGCTTCCTCCTTCCTGCTGGCAAAGCCATGGCACACCTGTGGGCAGGGAGCAGCAGGAACTCAGGCCTGCTTGAGTCTGCAGCTAGAGATGGGATTGCCATAGCCCTGGGCTTCTCAGCAAGCCCTGTGGACTCCCTCCTCAGACACTTTGGCCCCATGTAGTCATTTCCTCTCCCACATCTTCACACTGCTGTATTGCTGAGCTGATCCAGCTGTATCTGCGGAAAGACTCTGCATCCTTATAAAGGTATCCAGCACTCACCTGCGCTCCTGGAGGCTGAGGAAAGCTGGGGGGGTAACCGCAGACAAGGAGGGCAAAGGAGTAAAATGGACGAGAGGAGCACATGGGCTGCCAGCACCAACCATGGGGGACAGAGCAATTCTGCCCACAGGTCTCCCACCCCCAGGGCAGAACACATTCTAAATCAATTGGCTTTCTCTAACAAACTAAAAGGTGTCATTTCTAGAAGCCACTGTGTGGGGATAAACTCTTTATTCTTATTCCTCGGAAATAAAGCAGTGAAATACGTCACACGTGAGTTCCAGTGTTTCTTGCGTAAGACATGAAGTAATTTAGTGCTAATGAAAACCTGTTTCAGGCCAAAACAAAGGCTTGAATTCTAGTCCTGTTGTGTAATGAGGAAGTTTAAATTTAAGGGCCCCCAAAGTACCAGGCTGTAAAGGTGTTCCTTTATATAAATAAAGGTTCTAAATGAAAAACTTGAAACCTAAATTCCAAAGTACGTTCCTTCAATTAGCAGATTACAAAACAAAGGAGGCGCACAGCTGACACGGCCGGGCTATTGATTATCACAAAAAACTAATGCCCTTCGTGTGTTTTACCACCCAGCCTGAGAACAGTTGTTCAAGGATTGGGTCCGTCGCGAAGAGCAAAAATTAGGGGGCCACAATCGGGCTATTCCTGTGATCACAAGGGGCTCTTGTACCTCGATCTGATTTACCCCTGTCGCCTGGCGGCCAGCGGCCCAATCAAAGCCGTGCTACAAAGGCAGCCTTTGAAGCCAGCGCAGCCTGGAAACACACTCCATATGCAGGCGGGCAGACTGCACTTCATTAGATCTGTTGTCACATTTTGCTCTTCTTATTCTAATGATCCTATTTAATACCTCCACAGGAAAAACCCCCTTTCTAAAATGATGTCAAGTGAGGTGACTCTTACATTCATCAACCAGAACCAATCAACAACCCGGCCGGCCTGGGGCCAAGCGTCAATTCTCGCGCCAACTGAGGGTTGTGGTCTCCAGCGAACCGGCAGGGAGGGGCCACCGCATTTACCTGTAATTGGATGGCTCGGGCGGCTTCCCGATGCTGTCTTGCGGCGGCTCTCAAGGCCTTGGTTCTTTCTTCTTTGTCTGGGTCGCTCCCTTTCCGAGACTGCAAAGCAAAGGAAAGTTAGCTTTTGGGTAAGGGGCACAGCCAGACTTTTCCGCCCTATCTGGCACCAACTTCCTTTTTTGCCAACACAAGTAATTGTAGGAAAAACGTTGTCTGGGGCACGTGTTACAAGCAGCAAATATTGTGGTCCGAGAAAGCGGGGACCTGCCCAGAAGTTACTTTGCACTGACTCATCATTCTAAAGAGAATTTTCTCAACTTCCCCCCGACTTTCCACTGCAAAATTGTCTTTTAATTCTTTTTTTAAAGAGTTCAAAATTCAATTACAAGAAACCAATGGACCATCTAGGAAAGTAACTCCCAGCAAGAAAAAACACAAACTCTAAAGCTGCAGTTAATACAGCTGAGGAGAAAGGAGCTCCTGCTTACTATTTGGAAAACCAACCACATAAATGTGTATATATATTTAATTAATGTATTTCTCTGAATGATTTAAAGAATTCTTTTAACTGCTCAGCTGTGTGATGTAACCACACACCCTTGATTAGTATCAAGGTACAGATAATGTTTTCTTTTATTGCTTCTGGATGGTTAGCAAACAGCAATTTCCAAGTTAAATTTGTATGTGATACAACAAAAATAAATAAAGAGGCAAAAACGGAAAAAAGCTTCTTTTTGCAAAAGGTCGGTATGTCGGGAGAACAAGGGAAGGCAGTGTGTTTGGCCATGGTTCTTGAAAGCCAATTACCTGAAAGATGGTTTTCAACTAAGGCCATGGCTGGCATTTTCCTTGAGGAGTGCGGTGTGTGGACCCAGGGACCAAAACCAGGGACCCGCAGGGGCAACAACCCCTGCTTGGGGGGGAAAAGCCAAACAGGAGGCAGTTTAACAAAGTCCCAGTTCCGTTCATCTTCCTGATGGCATGAGAAACTGTGAGCACAATGATTTTCTGACACATTTACTTTATTATGAGAGAAAGATCTGAGACTCGTCCTCTTTAATAACGGTGCTGACAAGTGACAACTTCACTCCATTACTTTTCAATGGGAACATTACTCACGCAATATTGAAAATGGAGAAACATTTTCATGTGCTTTTCAAATCTGAGATGATATATGAAATGGATAGACTTGTTGGTGTCCAGGGCTGCACTGAACCACTAATGAAATCCAATTTCCAAGGGCTGTGGGACAGAGCAGCTGGTTCTTAAAAACAGTGTTAAAAAGGCAATGTCATAGGACATAATAAAAACAAGGGCTTATCAGATAGGATCCCAAGACAGGGAGAATGGTGGCTCTGACGCCACTTCCAGCACTCCAGCGGCTGTGATTCTCCTGGGCAGTGACGCCAGGGGAAAACACACTGCTTAGATGACGACAGAAGTGCATGTTTGTCCAACAACTATATGTGCCCGTACTGTGTACCTTTTTCTTTAGGATGGCAGAAGCCTGGAATGAGATGACAAAACAATGGAAAGTTGCAAAAGAGTGAAAAACATAAAGTTTACTCCTAGGAGGGAAACAGAGGTATTTATCAATCCCTCATCTTGAATTTTAGCTACGGTTCGAGGGCTTACTTTTCTCTTCACTTAATTCTTAAATGAATAAGAGCCATATAACAGTCTTTAAGGTCTCTTTCCCCTGCTTCTCAGTTCAGGGGACAGCTGGCATAGGTTTGTAGGTGTAAAATAAATTTCAAAGCTCACAGTGGAAACACTAAAAAAAAATTTTTTTTTAAATTTTTTTAAATCAACAAAGAATATTAACAGTACTTTGGGAATTTTATCAATTCTAAATCTCTACATTTGGAAATCTATCTTCATTATTCTCTATTAACCAGAATAATTAACAAAACAAACATTTAAAAAAAAATTAACATCTTCCTCAAGGCAGCACATCTGGTCCCAGTCACTCTGTTCTCGAGCAGAATTTCGGATTCCACAGGAAGCAGGGCAAAATGGTCCACTGTATACTGCAAGGCTCGGAACAGAAACTATGAACAGCTAAACTCAGTATGTGATCACACACTTCAAGATGAGTGAGACAGAAACCCAGGGAAGACTTCATTGCAAAAATAAAAATTTCCCAACATCTCTAGCAGTTTGGTGGAAGAAGGCATAAAGCTAAAAATTTCAAGGAAAGAGCAGAGCAAGCTTTTAGGCAGAGGGTTTGTTATACCTTGGCCATACAATGCTCTGGCTGCACGGGCTGTATAAAAAACTGAAATTCAACAGCAAATTCCCAGCAAGGCCTCCTTTTTTCCCTGCCCTCTTTGGAGACTGCAACAGTAAAGCACATCGTTCTGTCACTGCTGAGACAGCTCCGGGCAGTCGTCAGATGCAGGCAGCCATCAGTACCCACTGCATGTAGCAGGTAGCAGGGAGCGGATGGCATATGCAGACTGCTGCACGGTACCAAAAACAGAACCAGAGTGTATCACACCTGTCACAGACGGTCTGGAGACTTAAGGTCACAAGAGTGACCACTTACCCTCACAAACACTGAGTACAGAGAAAAAAAGGCTGAGGTAATCTAATGACTACCTGCTTCATTTTAAAAATGTTTACCTTCCTCCGACACAAGAAAAGAAGACATAGACACTCACGGCTCCCTGCACATGTGGCCAGAGCATCACAGCCAGGAGTCTGTCTTATAACAGAAACTATGCTTTCCTTTACCCGTCAGGCTGCTACACCACGCTGACAGGTACCTGGCTCTCCTCCCCTACAAAACACCATTCAAACAATTCTATTTACAGTACAAATTTCATTGTATGGTCAGCTTCTATGAGTGATTCAATGTGTTGTGCAAACTTTTTTAATGGTATAGCATCATGCAGAAAGCTTTTTAAAACACCATGTAAATGATACCACTGTGAAAATGCTTGAAAATAGGCCAAGCAGTGCAGCGCAGAAGGTAAGGAACAGGAATTTAGATACTATGCACCAAGCTCAGGAGAGTGGACCCCTACGATAAGAGGCAGGAGAATGGATCTGGAGGAGTGTGTGGAGGGTTTCGACTTTCACCTAGGATGCATGTATTTCTGAGAGTAGAAGTAGAAAAACACTGTATTTGATGAGTTGCACAGAGAATATGCATTTTTTATTTCTGTATATTTGAAAATATTTTACAATAAAACATTTTATCAACATGTAAATTGGGACTATTAAACTAAACTAATTGTCCTATGAACCCACACAAACATAACCAGGAGTTAAATGGCTAGCCTTGGAATGTTCGTGATCCCAAAGTAACAACTTTTCAAAGAAATAAAATAAGATGTAACTTAACCTCCAATCAGTAAAAGATAATTTCTGTTGTAAAGATAATACAATGGGCTAAGAGTAATTCTAAGCTCATACCTTTTCATGTAAAGAGCATGTGAATTACTAGTTTAAAAATGTGTATATATACCAACAAAAATACCTGAGAATAGAAAATGCTAGCCCAGAGCAAAACAGTACCAGTACACTTTATAGAAGATGTAAGAATGGTGTGTGGAAGGTAATACGTGTACTACCTAATTACCTGAGATCTGTTCATGAGGTGCTGAGGAATCCCTGCGCCCCTTCCCTCCCACAGAACCATCTCAGCTGCACGAATCGTTACTGAGTGTTCCCATGTGGCACAGCTGTCCCTTACTAACCAACCACTTCTCCATAAACACACACGTTGACAATTTCCAACCATCACCACATTTTCATGTATTTAAGAAAAGGAGGAAATTGGTAACAATAAAAATTTAGTCTCTTAATTGCTCAGATTTCAAAATTAATTTGCTCCTTTTCATTCCTTGGAGGACGCTGACATCTAGTGGAGTCAGTATTTTCAGGATCTTTAACTTAAAATGCTCACACCACCACCACTACCATTCTAATGTCAACACAGGAACCACCAACACGCGAGTCCCTGCCTGGGACTCTGGCTGACTTGTCCTTAAATGCTGCAATTCAAACCCACTTGCGGCACTAGCTTCCTTCACAACCCCAAGTTTCTGTTGCCCTTAATGATGGTGGGCAGCTCCATTCAATTTCTAAAATGGTTTACTCTCAAGTTGTCTTCTGAGATTAAAGAGGAAGAGAACAAACCATGGTGATGCAGAGTCACAGGCAGGCCACTGCAAGAGACATTCACTATGGTGACTACGACGTTCAGTCACCAAACAGTGAGTTTTTGTCAACTTCCCACACCTGCCCTGCCAAGTCTGTACCTGGCCAGTTCTTGGATGCCTGTGAGGAGGTACATGTGTGTGCATGAGTGTTTGTGTGTGCACACACGTGCAGCTTGAATCAGCCAGATTCTTTGCCTCTCGGTTCTCACCTGCACTTATGATGCAGAGTAAGTGCATCTGTCATACCAAACCACTTTCTCTCGAACAGGGCCAACTCTGGAAACAAGCATTCCTCCTACACAACTGAGCAAAACCCTGGCTCTGCAGGCAGCAGATGTTAAGTAAATATTTAGTAACTGATTTGTTATTTTGATTCTTCCTACCTGAAAGCACTCTCCTCTGCAGTTCACCCTGCAAGCAGGGTCCTGGATACCCTGTTAGAGGGTGGGGGCAGAGAGATGCTGCTAGTCTCTTCATAAATATCTCTATTTGAAAAGATATTTCCCATTTTTATTTTATTTTTTAAAATTTCTTTCATAAATAGAAATCAAAGTCAAGGAGCAGCAAAAGTGGTGCCTAGCAGGTGCTAAATGCTGGGCGCTCTCTCTTCTGCCACTCCTAACAGGGTGACCATGATAGATACAGAGGCTGCTCTTGTCTACCACATTAACACATCCTCCCGCCAACCCACTGTGCTAGTGCCTGTTCAGGGTCCTTGGCCTCTGAACCCAGCTGCAGCTGTGGCAATTGGCTTCTCAGGCCCACCAAGTCACCTGTAGGTGAGCAGCCTCTTCTGTGTCATGGCACCTTCTCACCCACCAACCTGGACCTGGTTGTAGAACAGGATTACGGGTGTTTTTTACGGCCAGGAAGCAGCCATTTAGGTGATGGCAGTTATTCCAGGCATCTAAGAAGTTTCCAAAAAGCATATTATTTGGGTACAATTAAAGCGTATCAGCTACTCACCTGTATTATGCAGAAAACCCCACACACCCTTCCAACCTATCCAGTACTCCTACAACTACTTTTGCTAAACACTATCAGTCATGCTCCTAACATTAGTGGTAATGAGACAGAAACAAAAGCAATGACACCCAGGCTCTTCTGCAGAAGTGCTAAAATTCCCAGCATTTGCTTAAGGCCAAACAGCCACCAGCAGGGCAGCCAAGGGTCTGGGCCTGGTCTGTATGATTTGTCTACACTGTGGCCCTACAGCAACACTGGCCAGAGCTGCATGGTACAGGACTATCAGCAAAGGAAAGGGGAGGGTGGTCAGGAGGGGATATGCTGTTGATAGCAGACCTCAGACCTTAGCAGTTATGACTATCCCACGGACACTGCTGCAGACATGGCAGGAACGGGATGGGGAACCTCCCAGGCTTGGCAGGCATCATATGGCCATCTTCGAGTAAGGGTGGAAGGTCAGATAATGGACTCCCAGCTACCCCAGGGAGTCTTCTCTTAGTTCAAGAAAGGTTATAGTAAACTGTTTTGTGTCTTAGTCATCAGTAACTAACCAAAAAGAGTTGAATGGTTTGAATAGGGCATCACTGACACTGGGCTGGCATGTCTTTATGGTCAGGGCTGGTCTGTGGTTGCTGCCCACGACAAGGTGCCTGCAGTACCCACTACCTCCTGGTGCGACAACCTCAAATGTTCCTAGAAGTTGCCAAATGTCCTTGGGAAGTGAAACTACCCTGGCTGAGGAGCACTGTGGTGCAGTGTGAGCTAGGCCAGGGAGGAAAAAATAGGATAGCAGCTCTGCCTGTTCTGTGCTTGACCACAAAGCCTTCCATGATTGACTGGTGACGTCTGCTGGACATAAGGGAGGAGGCAGGCGGCAGTGCTTTGGCTTCTTCTATAATTCAGAGATTTTCTGCATCTCAGTCACCCAAGAAGCTCGTGAAAAGCACACGTGCAGGAGTCCTATCTACAGATTCTGAGTTTCTAAGTATGAGCCTGGATACCTGATGCTCTTGATGACTCTGCAGATAGCCCAAGGGAGGCATCTGCAACCAATGAGTGTCCCTAGGAAGACCTGGGGCTTGTGGTGCTGAAAGCCACATTCCCAACCCCTTCCTCTACCAGACAGAAGTCAGTCCTCAGGCCCAAGGAGAAAGCTGGGCTCACACCTCCATCTGGAGGGGCAGATGCACAGCTTGGGAATGCTAGCAGTCTGTCTGCCTGATCTGTCCGCAATGTCCCCACCACCACTGTGTGGCACAGGGCAGTCTCTTTGTGCCTAATGGAAGAAGTCTTTACTCAAGACCACTGAGACCACAGGATAATAAAGATTTCACATAAACCTCCCCCCACCTTCACCTTTGACACAAGTCACTCCCTCCCCATACTGAGAGATTTCCATTCAGCTCGTGCAAGTCTCACAACTTTCCTACACTTGCCCAGGGATCACTGTGACTCTTAGTGTGAATGCTGCAAATGTTCCTGAACCCTGTGGCAGCCGTGCCACCATGACCAAAGCCCCGTGTCACTCAGACCTGTCCCAGCACCGACACTCACAGTGAACAGATTGGACCGGCGCTTGGACTGCTTGCGGACGGGCGTTGGGGTGTTGGCAGTGGGAGGAGCGTCAATCCGAAGTTCCTTCTGGCTGGTGCTTGGGGTCGATGGGACGGAAGAGGAATAGTCACTTAAACTGCCACCTCCGTTACTCGTCTGCAAGGATCAAGACCAAGGCTTTATCACTGACCCACTCGAGGGACCCACCACCCCAGCTGGGTCACAGCTGGCAGATGAGTGAGTCACAAGTGACACAGGCAGACTGCTTCTCTAACTCGGTCAGGTGTGACGGTACCAGGTACACATTCTTATTCTAGAATGCACCATCGTCTCATAGAGCTACTTCGTCTGAGAAAAGTGGTCTAGGAAAAAGAAGTCTCTATCACTGAACTTGAAACTCTCTGAAAGTAAAAATATAATTTTCTTTTTCCTCTGACAAATGAAGAGGCTGAATAAACGGAATGCTTCTCTGGTTCATCCACTGCTCTGCGATGGATGTAGAAGAAACAGTTCGCCCAGTAGCACTACAACTAGCATTCTGAAATGACACTTTGGAAATCTGAGTGCTGTCCAGAAATGTTTCCAGACTCACAGAGAGTTAAAGACGTGAATGTGTATGGCTGTGCTTTCTAGGCCTCGATGTGCTGCTGTCCCAGGCAAACCTGCTCACTGCATCCTTTGAAAAAAGTGCCAGGAGAACCTGGGCCCGAGAAATGGTAATCACAAAACAAGTACAGGAAAAACAAAGCCTACAGCTTCCTTAATAGGCTTCTGGTTGGGTTCTTCAAAATGACGATTATTTCATTTGCTTCCAAGTAAATAATTTAGCAAAATGCTGTTATGGAAAGATCGCAGTTTCTATAGGGCCTAAGGGAAATGGTAATTGTAATTGGATGCTGCTACCAAATTTAAGCAGAGAGTGGGGTTCACCATTAAGATTTACTCACAACTGTTCAACCTACAAGGAGACAAGGACCGAGACCAGAGCAGAGTGACTTAAATCAAGAGCAGAGTCGGCGGCACACACCTGGCACCGCCCCCTGTCAGCAATGCCTCATCACACAGGCAGCGTGAAGACAGAAAACATTAAAGAATGATTCCCATAAAAACCACTTGGCCACAGCAGTTTCTCAAGGAAATAGTAAGTCAATTACAAACATGCTGTTATTTATAAAGTTGAAAAAAATAAAATCAACGGTAGCACTATCTGGGCCCTCTGTTCTCTGGTTACAGCACGCTGTCCAACCTCCAGTACTGCTTCACATACCTGGCTTATGTGCACGGCAGACACCTGTGCGGAGCAGACAGATGAGTGGCTGGGAGAGTTGGGCAAGGACTTGCAGGGGCCTATGGACAGCTGCTGCTTCTTCCTTGTGGCAACGATCTTCTGGGCAACTAGTGGACAGAGACAAAAGACGGTGATGTGAGGCCAGTTTCCAAATTCAAGGAACACAGCAGAGACCTCTTGTGACCTGAGACCTGCTATTCCCACCTGCACAGGGAGTTTTAGCTGGGCACCTGACTTCCAGAATAAATGTATTTCCCAGTACTTCTTCCTGCTCCCCCAGCTAAGTGTTGCCTACAGCCAGCTCTGCCCAATGGGACGAGAGCAGGAGGGCCATGTGGCAGATCTCAGGAATATTCGAGTGAGAGTGGCCCTTTGCCTGTCTCTTGTCTTCTTCCTGCATGTGCCTGAAATGCAGATGTGTCTCTGGCCCCAGCAGCAATCCAAAACCATTATGTGATATGGTGAATGGAAACCACACCTTCAAAGTGGGCGTAGGAGCTGGTGCTGTCTCCATAGAGATTCTAGCAGCCCTCCTTGGACCACCTCAGAGGACTCAGAGGTGCCACAAAAAGTACCCCTTCCCCATGTAGGTTATCCTAATAAAATCATAAGTAATACTAAATAAGACGAGAACTTAACTAAATCCCTTTGACAGCCAAAAATATTTTCATGCATTGCCTGAAGAATTACTCTTAACTTTACAGGCTATAGGATAGTATTATACTCAGGCACAAGTAATTACATCAAACATGGTTTATCTTTAAACATATTATCACACATAGGAAGTTTATCTTAATCAATACAAATCTAAATTCAACCAGCCATAACCTCTCTTGGAAAGGAGGCTCGCAAATAAGCATATTGAATTTAACTGGAAAGGAGTCAATGATTAGAAAACTGTTCCTGCACCAATAGATGTCACTACAGAATAACTAGATTTTATTTGAATGAACGTGTCTTTGGGGCATGGCTGTAACTAAGTTCAATGCCACCCAATCCTGGTCTGTGCCCAGGTTGTTGCTGTTTTCAAAGATGCCCAGGAGAAAAGGGACGCCCCATCTCTCCCAGGCTTAGGTTGTAATGCAGACAGAGTCCAAACGGTGCTCACAGATAATTTCTTTTTCAAATGAACACAATTTTAATAAGGAACTGGTTTGTCCACAGCTCATGGTTTTCATGTAAATGAATGATGGTGTAAATATGATTGAGTGAGAATGAAATATGTAAAAAATGGCTCACAGAGACGAAGCAGCAGCTTCATTAGTTACACCCACCTCCGATAGGCTTCTTATCATCCTGAAAGGATGATATCAATTAATTTATCTTCCCATAGTGTATTGATCATAACCTTCATCAGCTAATCACGTTTAAATTACAGAGGAATATCGCAGCACTCTGTCATTTCAAAGCCATCGGCATATCGATCAGGGTCTTTGAAGGCGTATATTAGAATATTTTAAAAAATCGTTACATGAACTCAAAAGTAAAATCTAAGGTCAAACTCCAACAGCTGCAAAATATGTGTTTTATGTGTACTAAAATTCCAAAGACTAAAACTAAATTAAGCTGGGTGACTTCTAATTCCTTCCTTTCTTGTTTGAAAAAAAGATTAAAAAAGGAGTTTTGCTGACCAATTGTACTGCATTTTGATTCTACCCCAGCCTCAGAGCTACCATTCAGCTGGATGAGCACACTGACTTCAGTCATTAAATATCAAATTCAAACATGTGTGCTGTGAGAGCTGTGCAGACATTTCTATAACTGTTTTTCTGCTAACAGAAAACTTGAGAGCCTTTCTAAGACAAGACAGATAGGTTATGAAGCTCCAAATACAGACCAATGTTCTGTCCTTCCTACCTGGAAGTGAGAAGGAATGAGTGAGCTCTGAGTAAAAGGTCCATTTTATAACGAAGATCCTTGACAACTAAGGACTGAATATCTTCTGTCCTTGGAATGACTGCTCTGCCACATTAACTACAAAAAGTGAAGTCATGACGCCTAATAACTGATAGTAGTTAAGAAAATGATATACAAACATTTTGTATTGAGGTGGCAAGACTGCTTTGGAACTACGGGTTAACACATAAGGATAGGAGAAAACTCATTTAATGGAGGCCAAGAAGTATTAGACTTGAGGATGATGAGGAGCAGGACAGGGAAAAGGTGAAAGGTAGTACACGAGGCTTGGTGTCTTCTCTGCCAGGAAAATGGAAATCTGCTTTCCAGTCAGTTGCTCACTTGTTAACTGCTGCTACTGTGAGCAACCTGTCTGGGTGGACAAAAACTAAAGCAACAACCACCATCCAAGATGGTGCCATGGTCTACAACTCACATGACCATACAAAAGTCTGAGTGAATCCTCAAGAGACTGGAGAGGAAAGTGGGGTGGTCAGGGCAAGGGCGTGAGATGCTCCCTAAATTCTCCTCTAAGGAATCGGATGAGGAGTGCTATTCTTTTGTAACTATAACCACTAGTTACTCATGCTACTTAGAACATGTCAATGCTAGTAAGTTTGAAACAGGAATATTCTTCATACTATGCTGGCTGGGCAACTCATAGCCATTGAGCTTTTGTCTGTATTTTGGTCACTCAACAAATGAATGTCACTTATTTCACATCAATACATACATAACGCTTGTAAACGTGTACACCTATCAAAAGTAAGTCACCTGAACTTAAGACAGTGTGAGTCCTTAGCACTGAGATTTTACTGTCGTCTCAAACTTGGTGATGTGCTAGACTTTGAATCTGCCACATGCACCAGGCCACATCCAAAAACGCAGCATCAGAAGGTGTGGAAGGTGACTGCCCTTCCATCACCAAGACCACCACTTCCATTGCCCACCTCAATGGATGCTCAGCGTTGTTTAAAAGCCACTTCCTCTACAGTTTTAAACCTTTGTTTGGACTTGGATAAAGGTAAGAGAGACCCTTTATAGAACAACCCCCTGCACTCCTACCTACATAAGCATGCAGCGGGTGAGCCCAGTCAATGCAGTAAGTCAGAATCGTGCCCAGGAGGCAGTGCGCTGGTACCAGACAGCGGGACAAGGAGCTTCATAGAACAGGACACACCGTTCTAACCTGGGGATGACTTTGTGATACTGTTATGTCTAAGTACACTTGCATGCACACAGTTCACTTCTTCAATTAAAAGGAGGTATAAGACCCCAACAACATTACATATTTACTTTCTCCAGAAGTTTTACAATTTCTTCTGAACAGAAGGTGAACAGCACCACTAGTGGTGAAATACAAGCTCTCGATTGCTCCACTCCAATCTGACCAATGACCAGTGTCTACTGCCACGCAGTTTCGGAGTCATCTGCACTCAAAGAGGACAACAGTCACTTTGGTCTCACTAGGAAAACAGGCCAGCTTCTCCTAGTCACCCTGACCCCATCAAACCCAAGACCCTCCCCACCTCTGCTATTCTAATTACCTCACTTCATCCTCGCAGCTCTAGTTTGCACATCTGGAAGGTAAAGCAGGAAGGACAGCAGTGCAGACAGTGTTTTGGTGGCCACCAACATGGTCACATGACTGACTGTTCACAACCCTGTGCTACAGCAACAAAACATCCCAGTTCCCCCACCAACCTTCCCACCATTTTACTCAACTTCCAGGACAGGAACTGCAGACTCCTTCACCTGTGCCTCACCTTCTCCTCCTCTTGCATAGCAGAAGTAAGCCGCGGAACATGACAGACATAGGAGCCAAGTGCCAAGCCCATTCCAGGGCAGCCTTTTCCAAAGTCCGTGCTCTTGACCTGAGGCCTCCTCCTCCCCTTCCCCCCTCGCACCTTGGTGTCCCTGCTGTAGTCTGTCCTTGGGCCTGGGGTCACCAATAACCACATGGAGGCCAGACTGCACGTTTACTGCCTGACCCCTAGGCAGCTTCTGGTGCTGCTGACCGCTCCCTCTCCTTTCTTTTCCCTGCTTAGCTCCCAACACATCAACTTCCTCATCTCTCCCTCCTCCTGGAGCTTTTCTTCTCCATTTTCCTTCACTGGCTCCCTCTCCACACCCTCTCAGTTCCAGGCCCTCCCCTGGGGAAGCTTCTCTAGTTAAGGCATCAGTCCCCATCTCAATGCCGAAGACTACCACATGGGCTCCCGTTACTTCTCTACATTATCACTACCTTGTAAGTACCCGTCCCTCCAGAACACAGAGATCTCGGTACATCTCACGTACCACAGGCTTCATGAGGGAGTAGGTGACACACGAGGAGTGGGACCTGTGGGGCAGTGAGCTCAGGTTGACACAGCTGTGTCACTGATGGAAGTGCACAGATCTGACACTGAGAGCCACAGGCAGATCTAAGGGGGATGTGGCCAAGCCAAAAGAGATGTGTGATTCTACTGTTGGGAAAAGTTGTAGCAACAATTCTGAGAACTGTTAGATAAGAATTAAATAAGCATAATAAAATCCTATGCTAAATGTTTGTGGCAGACACACCTGTAAAGTCAACAGGCATGAGGATGAACACTGATTGTTTTCCACACACGCATACTACACACACACACATATACTGACAAACACATGTAAACATATATAAATACAAATATACGTGAAATAGGGTCTCCCTGTGTAGCCCCAGCTAGCCTTGAACTTATGATCCTCCTGCCTCAGTCCCTGGGATGCTGGAGTTACAGGCGTGCACCACAATGCCTGGGCCCAAAGATATTTTAAAAGCACAACTGATGCTGGGAGTCACTGCATGTTTTGTCTCTACCTCTGGCACTACTACCACCCACAGGTAATGTTTACTGCACTTTTTTGCTGAAAGGTTCTTCCTAAGAACCACTGGGGGGCAGACTCCCCCCAGAGAACTCCCATAAATAACGACAACCACTGTGGACTGTAAATCTTTCCAGAACAAATAGGAGATCCCCTAATGTCTCCATTCAGTTTTAAATCACAGAAGAGTGATCATTAAAGTAGCTTATTTAATTAAGAAGAAATTAATTACTAAATTATATATGTAGCTCTGAATGTGTGACTTAGGAATGAAAAGAAACCTGAAGTGGCATTTTATTTTTAACTCACCATCAAAAGTCACAAAGTCAATAAATGTTAGGGGACGTCTTGGTATTGCCGGCAAACCTCTCTGCGTGGTGTGTCTTTTGTACTGTGTGAGTTTGTCAGAAAAACGAAGTGAAATCAATGGGAGGGTGGGGCATGAAGCAAAGGGGGGGGGGGGGGGGGGGGGCGGGGAGGGGGGTGGGGGGGGGGGGGGGGGGGGGGGGGGGGGGGGGGGGGGGGGGGGGGGGGGGGGGGGGGGGGGGGGGGGGGGGGGGGGGGGGGGGGGGGGGGGGGGGGGGGGGGGGGGGG